ATAACTTTCTAGTCCTTATTTTACTGGACTACTCTGTATGTTTGACACTGATGATCACTTCTTTCTTCAGGAAAATCTTGCCTCTGTTTGCTTCTGCACAGAACCTATCAGTGAGTGAGAGGACCATGCCCAACATCCCTATCTAGGAGGAAGAGCTGCACTCAGGTGGGCAGCCCCGTGTTCTCCTGAGACACAGGAAACCGATCCGCAGCCAAGCTGTGGAGGTCATGCTGAGCGAGGCCTGGGGGTGAGGCAGCTATGGGAGGCCCTGGCCAAGATACATGAGTAATAAGCAGCAGATGGCAGAGAGAGTCAGAGAGAGACAGGCAGACAGACAGACAGACAGAGACAGAAATAAAAACCAGAGAGAGATAGAAGAGAGACAGAGACAAAAAGAGAGACAGAGAGGAAGCTTATACTTGCTATGAGGTAGAAGTGAGGAGAATGTGGCAGCCCAGGGAGCTGGAGAGGGAGCCTTACCTCCTACATTTACTACTTACTGCTCCTGGTTCTAATGCGCTGGAGGACTTGGGGCCTGACTCTTTTTATATCCATGAAAGAGTTTACCTTCTTAATACATTTACTATTTATGGAGCTAGTGTTCAAGTTTCTGTTGATTGCAATCAAAAGGAAGCTTGCCTAAGTACCTTGTACCCTGTCCTCTGAAATGTGCGTTGTGGGTTTTTCCAAACCATGCAGTTCCTCACTATAATTCTCTCTTGCTGTTTACAGAGAACAACCATGTCGATGTCTATCCACCTGGTGTTGAAGCTCTACCAGCAAAGGGCCCGAGTCACTTACACCCAATTTTCAGAATGTGGTGGTCCAGAAAGGAAGCAGAGATTATGAACACCCTTGCACACCTAGCAATCAGATTCCTCCGACATCTACCGGGCACATGGACAAAATTAGGACTTCCGTATTTGCAGCTCCTGACTTAGGATGAAAACAATCTCATTGAACAATGGAAATTCTTCTCACTGCCCCTAAAAAAAAAACTTATCTTGGTGACAGAATAATTTATTATAATTTATGACAATTCCTGGGCATTTGAAGTTCTCTGTTCTCCTTTTCTTGACTATGGCTCAGCTATGACCCACGGTTATTGCCAACCCATTCTCTGCTTCTTTCCCTCATGCATACTCATCACTGTGGAGCGGACACCATGCAAATTCTCTCACTGTACATTTGCTCATACACTTTCCTCACGTCTCCATGAATCCCAAGACTCAGCCCAAATTGTACCTTCCCCATGAAGCCTTGCTCTGAGCCTCCACTGCAATCTTTTTGGTCTTCTTGAAATTCCTCCAGTCCAGGGGTTCTCCACGGGGGGGCGATTTTGTTCCCCCCCCCCCGGGGAACATTTGGTAATATCTGGAGATATTTTTGGTTGTCACAACTTGGGGGGTGGCGGTAGTGGAAAGAGCACTACTGGCATTTAGTTTGTAGAGGCAGAGAATGTTGCTAAACATCCTACAGTGCACAAAACAGTCACCCAACACAGAATTATCTGGCCCATAGTGTTTTGATAATTTTGAGAAACCCTTCCTTCCAGCCTGACTCTGGCACCCTTCATCCTCTCTGTTGATTTCTTCTTATGGCGTAGAATCTTAGGGCTGGATGGCAGCCCCCCTTCCCCGAGCCTTTGATCATTTACTAAATGTTCAGTGACTCTCCCCTCTGGCCTCCTACCCTCAGCCCAGTACTAGAAACATGGTACATGCTTGCTGTCAGATCAAAATAACCCTAGGTTTTATGAAATATCATTTATTCCCTGCAAACATTTATATATATATACATATATATATTTTTTAATTATCAGCTTTTCTCCTGGATATAACCTCTCAAAAGGAAACATGACTACATCTAAATCACAGAGGGAAGAAATTCTAGAGATTTTCTGCGGAAGTTTGTTCAACATTAAGTAAAGTAAATACCAGCCAACTGAGTCTTACGCATTTAAATGATGGTGATGAAAATCACCACCTTAGCGGCACAGAGGAAAACAGGAAAGTTTTCTACTAAGGGGAATGATTAACTGAATTCTTACAGAGACACTGGAAACAAAACAAAACAAAACAAAAACCAACAAAAAACAGAAAGGACAGTCCATTGCCTAAGTTTGTAGACTTGATTCCTTCAAACTCTTATTTATAACCTATCCCATAAACATTCTCCTTGAAGAAAAAAACATGTAATTGCTGACGCAGAGTTCAAAAAGCCTAGGTTAAGCATGTAAAGACAGACTAAGACTTTGTATTGGAAAAAGAGAGCTGATTGGCCAGTATTTTGTTGTATTTTGCATTTTGGAGAACAGTATAAGTAGAAGTTCAAGTGCAGGCCTGCAGTGAGCTGATCTTGGATTTGAGTCCCAGCAACACCATGGAGCAGCTGTGTGACTTGGGTAAATTCCTTAATTCCTCACATCCTGGTCTTCTCAGCTTTGAAGTGAAGGGCAGTAACAATACCTCCCCAAATATCAAGTTGTGAGGATTTGATGAAGGAACACAGGAAAAGTGCTAACTGTGGGATGGGGCTAAATCTAAGGGATGAATAAATGAGAGCCATTGTTAACAGTATTTCTACCTTTTAATATTTTAATTTTATTTCTGAAACAAATGGGAAGATCCCTTAGCCTCATGGTGTCAATTTTTATTTCCTCAGAAGAAATGTGACATCCCCTTCCTAATGTAAAAAACTTCCATCACATTGAGGTCTTCACATTTAAACTAAAACAAACAATGGCTTTTTAAATTGTGCAAGCAAATCTGTAGTGGTAAGTACCTGGAGAATAACTGAAGCTTGATTTTCTTTCCTTCCTTCATCTCTCCCTTCATCCCTTTCTCCCTCCTGCCCTCCCTCCCTATAGTGGAATGTGCAAATGCACATATATGGGGTTATGTGACAGGAAAGTACCTACAGAGACTGGGTCAAAGAGCCAAGTGTTACAAAAAAGTCTGAGAAGGGAAATTTCAGAGCCTTGGGTTTCAACCCTGGTTCATACTAGGTATGAGGTATCTGGCAAGTCACTTAACTATCTCTCATCTCTAAAGTAAGGGGCTTGATAGACGGTTACTAAGGTTTCATCCAGCTTTAATTACAGGGTTGTATTTTTATTTCTGGAGAGCCATGAGTAGACATCCAATTCAAATATATTGTTTAAAATGGCCCTGTCTTGGGGTGCTGGTGGAGTGTGCAGCTCTTGATCTTGGGGCTGTGGGTTTGAGCCCCAGGTTGGGTGTAGAGATTACCTAAAAAAAAAGGTCCTGTCTTTTTACTAGTAAGTTCAATCTGAAAAAAAGAGTGAAACATGATTCATTTTTCAAATGATATTTTACATTTTGCATAGATGTCTTGGTTCAAGCATTTTGCTGCATTCTAAGTGCCAAAACCTGAGCTGGCTTTATGGGTATATGGCCTGTACACAGGGCTCCATAACGGCTTTAACACCTGCTATTGCCATCCCGAAATTCTTAGTAAGTTTTGAACAAAAGGCCCTGCATTTTCATTTGACACTAGGCTCTGCAAATTATATAGCTGGTTCTGGCTACAGTTTACAGTTTAATTTCTAGACCCAGGACTCTCTCCTTTTTTCAGTTAGAAACCTACATGGACGTTTTCCCTCTGCAGCCATTTTCAGTTTTTAGGGTGGTATAAAACGGCTTCACCTGCCAGACTGCAGGATGTGCCCACAGCTGAACAGGACCCACAGTGCCCGCCCTTGGCTTCCAAGGGCAGGGGCTCCCATCCTTCAGCCCCAGCTATCTGTAGTGGCCCAAGCTTCTGGGGATTCCCACATCCGTGCCAGTGTTTTTAAGAGTCTATGTTTTTCCAGGACTCAACAAGAAGATAAATAGTCTTCTTTTGAAAACTGGAAGATGACAGTCAAACCAAGGAAGAGCCCCATTCTGTGAAAACCCTTAGACCTCACCCCCCTCACCATGCCTGTGATCTTGAGCATTACTGAAGGCCTGACCACCTGGCTTCAGGGGTCTCTCAAGTGCAGTAAAGAGGGAACTACTCAGAAAGGCTCTTGTCTAATCAATGCACATGATGATTCAACTTCAAAGTCACTTCTGACTCTTAGTGTGTGTTGTCATTGAGCACAGCAGTGAGCAAACACCATGAAGACAAGTTAATTCCAGTTTAACACAGTGTCCCGTGGGTTTACTCAACGGCCGGTGGACTGGGGATACTACTCACCTCACAGAGCTGACATGAGGATATAAGGAGATCGTAAGTGACGAGGTACCTAAAGAACTATTTCGTGAAAGTATTTGCAAAGTGCAATGTGGGCGCACGATTTAAAAAAAAACAAAACAATTTGTTCCTGCAGGTATGTATAGGTTTGTTCTCCAAAAGGAGCAGCTTAAAGGAAAGCGGACATAGGAAGGAATTTAAAGGATTTGCCTTTTCTCCTCAATTTTCAGTGAAACTTCACGTACGGCGCAGCGCCCCTCTCTGGACCAGTCACGGAGGGGAATGCCAGCTGAACAGAAATGACAGCAAAGAATTAATGCCCACTCCGATGATGGTCAAGTCAGGCCATCTAGAGCTTCCTGTCCCGCTCTCTCTCTTCCTCTTCCTCCGCCCGCCTGCTCTCGGCGAAGGGCAGGATGAGCTGCTGAGACCCTGCCCGCTCGCCTGGCTCCCGCGCAATCCCCGCGTCTGCGCTGAAGCGGAACTCGGAAACGCAGCAGGCGCGGCGAGAAGAGGGGGAACCAGGCAGAAGTGGGCGTGACCGGAGCTGCCGGAGGGAGGCGTGGTCAGACCTCGGTGGGCGGGACAGGAGGGGCGGGGTCATGGCCTAATCAGGGCGGTGGCAGAGGCGGTGGAATTTAGAAAGGAAGCGGGCGCCGCGGGGCGAGGCGGGGCCAGGCCGCGATGGGCGGGGACGAGGGCGGGGCCACAGGTGGGGCTCGCTCCCGGGCAGGCGGAGCCGGGGGTTTGGCGGGGAGAGGCCGGGCCGAGCCGGGTGGGGGGGGGGCCGGAGAGAAGGGTGCTGTACGGGGCGGGGTTCACAGCGCGCGGGGGCCGAGCCCTGCTACTGCGTCCGCGGCCGGTTCTCGAGCGGCACTGCCTGCGGGATCCCGGGACGCGGCGCCCGGTGGGTGGAGGGCGAAGGAACGCGGCGATGGCCCCAGGAGAACTCTCGGGGTCCGCGGTCTTGGCCGCCGCTGTCTTCGTGGGAGGCACCGTGAGTTCGCCGCTAGTGGCCCCGGGTGAGTGTCCCATCGGGGCCTGGGCGCTCGGGAGGAGGCGAGGGGTCCGGACGGCAGCCCCACTGCGCCCTGAGCTGCCCTTGCCCTGGCAGAGCCGCGGGATCCCGACGCTGAACATCAGGCTCTTGGAGGGTGGCCGGGCCGGGTGCGGCGCGGCGCGACGGCTCCCGTCCCTCCCTTCCCGCTTGCCCGGGATCTGCCTTCCCTTCTCTCGCCTGCTCCTCTGAGGACCTGTTACCCCTAGCCCGCCCCTCTGAGCTGCCCGGGGTGTAGGGACTGGGCCTGGTCTTGGCTTCCGTCGGGGCGCTTGCCGCCAGGCTGAGCACCTTGGAGCCCCGCGGACCCCTTGCCGCGCTTGTCCTCAAAGGCCCCGCGAGCGGAAATCGACACCGGCGACCGGGTGCGCTGTCGTAGTTCCCCCCCCCCCACACCTTTGTTTTATATTTTAAGACCTTGGGGAGTTCCGTTTCTTTCCAAGTTTTCATTAATTGTAGTGGTTGATGGATTCTTGTAACAGGTTGGGGGCTTTCAGATGTCTTCCCCACATATCCTGGATAAATCAGCCTTGGAAAAAGGGAAGGCACGTTTGTAAACTTAATTTTTTTTTTCTTCTTTGAGTCAATTCCTGTCACCACAAAGGAACCTTCTGTGGTCAGAGCAGGAAGCCTCCAGCAGAGACCATAAAGTGTCTTCAATGACGAATTTGGAGCAGGAGTTTTTAATTGAAATCTAAGAGGACGTGTAACTTTTACGAAAGTCCAGTCTTACACTCTTGTTTTTATGGCTGTAGACCCCAGGGATTTCTTGCCACTGGTTTCCCTCTTAATTGCCACTTTACAGCACTAGTTAAATAATAATAATAAACGCATACCTTCTTGGCCGGTTGGGGTTACCACAGCCTGGAATCTTACGTCAGCAAGCTCTTCCAAGCTTGAGCGGCTCTTCTTCACGTCCAAATAATAAGCATCTGGAAGCCTTCCAACCGTGACTATCTCCTCCATACAAACACATACACTGCTCTTTACTCCTGAGAAGATTTGAATCTCTTACAGTTTAAACTGGCTTATCACTTTGGCCTTCACTTTTTCACAGAAAACAACATGTTAGGAAGGCAACAGGATGGAGAGTATGTCTCCTGAGCCTTTATTAGCAGACCCGTATTTCCTTCAGTCATCCCTCCTGGGGAAATGGAAGCTAGTGACATGTATTACTGGATGGGAGATTTTGGTTTTCACCCCATGTTTCATGGCTGAGACAAGTGGGTGCATCATCAGGTTCAAATTGGACTCGGGGTTGTAGAACATACTTAGTTGCCCCAGAATTTGAATAGCTTAACCTGGGAGTAAAATTGTTAAAAAATCAGCATTGGATGCATATAATCAGCCATCAGCCAGGGATGTCCATTCCTGGGGTAAGTTTGTGTTTCCGATGGATCTCAGCAACACTCAGCTCTCAGGTTTGGAATGTGATGAAAAAAGTTCTCATCGCATTTTTTGATGAAAGTTTACCATTGAAGAAGAACAAAGTATCTAAAAAGGAAAGAGTACAGCGTACAAAGGTGCCCGTGTGACTAGAGGCCTGTATGAAGAAAAGATGTCCTGACCAGCTAACATCTGGTCCTCTTGGAATCTATGACGGTATTAATGTTTGTAGGTAATGTTTTAGGAAAGTAGGAAGAAGGAAATAGGCAGCAGCGTTGAATGCTTGCTGTATGCCAGGCTTTGAATTGGGCGATTAATATGCTTTCTCTATACTTATTTCTCAGAGCCCTATGAAGTTCTTATTTATGGTGAGGCAACTGAGGCCCAGAGCAATTAAATAATTGGCCCAGTCACATAGCTGATGTATCAGTCAGCCTTCAGTCAGAGAAGCAGAACCAGTGGGAGATGAGCGTGTGTGTATGTGTGTGTGTATCTTTATATGTATCTTTGATAACCTAGCCTGCTTGATTCCAAAGTTCATTCTCTCTACTGTACCCCACTTCTCCCCAGAGAGAAAACAGAACAGAAATCAACCTCAGCAGTCTTGTTGAAATTCTAAGATCGGAAGTGTAGGACATCCTAAAACTGTAAGCATGTGGTTAGCAGAAGTTGGGAAGCAGAGAAAAGGACAGATAACTTCACAGTGGGTAGTGACAATGTCTCTTTCTTTTCCTGCCCGCTAGAAGAATCTCGTTAAACTTCTGTCTCTTAGAAGCCGCGTTCGAAACCGTGTACCACAGGCATCAGAAGGGATGATTTTCCACATCTTGGCTTATTTATGCCCTTAAGGTTTCTGGTTACTCAACCTTTGGGCTTATTAGTTTCTCTACCAGGCAATGGGCACCGCCTTCTAGAGAGGAGTGGGTGGAAAAGGTTTGGGGGCGCTGAAGAGAGAATGGCACTCTCCTAGGGTTTTGTGGGCTTCCATCCAGGCTCCTACTCCTCATCTGATGCTAAAGATAAGCTTTATTAAATTCTGGGTTCTCCTTTGGCCAGGTAGCACTCAAGCCATGCAGCCACATAATAACATAGTCAGTGGACAGAATGTTTTGAGCCAGCATCCTGGGAGCTGAGACTTCCATACCCAGATCTAATTTAAAGAGGAAATGAAAAATTTGAGAAGCGCCTTTCATTCTCTTCTCCCCCTTTTGCCCCCCCTCAAAGGAAATTAATCAAACAGATGATGTGGGCGTTTCAGTAGTTGAATTCAAATGAGACAGGCCAAAGCCCCAGGCAATAGAAACAAAAATTTCATTGTTACTTTTTAAAGAATTTGGCTCTGATGTTGAAGCTTACTTACATGTTAAGACAAAAGAGAAATTATTTAAAACTGACAAAAAATGATTTAAGTTGTCATTGGTTAAAACTATTATGTTGAGTGGTTTCTAATTATTTTAGGGCACTTCAGTAATTGGTAAAGATTTGGTGGGCTCCTGATAGTAGGGAGAATAAGGAGTCTGGTGTGCCAACAGGGACTAAACTTGGAATTTGGAGTTGGTTCATTGTAGACACTTCACTCTTCTTGGAGGAAGGATGCAGCGTTTGTTATACCTGTTTTGTGGCAGGCTCTAGTCTTGAGTATTCAGATCATCTGATTCTTCAACACCCTGTCAGCTATGTGGTTTTATTCCTGTGTTTATAGATGAGAAAATCGGGTATCTGAGAAGTTAACTTGAAAAAGTCACTCAAATATTTAAGTTGGATTTTGACCTTGAGTCAGATCTGTTAGCTTCTGAAGCCTGTTCTTGTTATTAGTGAATCATTTTGGTTTTCTTGCTAGTGAGAAATTTCTTTTTATTCGAAGATATTTATGAAGAATCACCAAGTAATAGGCTAATGACAAGATAGAGTGGGAAGAGCACCGAGCTCTAAGACAGCCCCGGAGTGGAAGTCAGGGAGAAGCCCTGCCACTTCGGCGAGTGGGGCTATCCATGACTCTGTTTTGTTACCTGTACAATGGGTATGTGCTGGCTCCTATTGTTGCCTGCCTTACCCACTGCCAGTGAGCATATCTCTTATCCTTTGTATTGTTTCTTTCTGGATTTCTTTCCCATGGTGTCCATTAGGCTGGACTTAAAATGTCAGCCAAATTGTCTAATAAATGTAGACCACATACCCTATAAGGTTGTCATTCTGGAGGTGGTGGTGGTTGTGCAAAGACAGGTTCATTGTACGTTTATAAAAGCCCAGAGTTGCACCTCAGAGATTCATGAATTTGCTGCCATTGACTGGGAGTTATGCAGACAGGCCTTCTTTTTCCACTTCCCTTCAGCTAAAATACAGTGCTCTTGGTCCTTTTGGAAAATTCTCCCAAAGATTTAAAGATTTAAAGGGGAGACAATTACCCCTTGGTCTTGTTACTCCAAGGCACTCGCCACTGTTAGTGTATTTCCTTCTTGTTTTCTCTCTATTTTTTTTGCTTGGATAGGATCGTAATGCAAATATAATGTTGTATCCTGTGTTTTTCTTTCTCCTTTTTTTAAAAGATTTTATTTATTTACTTGAGAGAGAGCGAGCAAGCGCGCACAAGCAGGGAGAGCAGCAGAGGGAGAGGGAGAAGCAGGCTCCCCGCAGAGCAGGGAGCAGGATGGATGTGGGTCTGGATCCCAGGACCCTGGGATCATGACCTGAGCCGAAGGCAGACGCTTAACTGACTGAGCCGCCCAGGCGCCCCGATCCTGTGTTTTTCATTGAATATTATATGTGAGGTCTCTCCATTTCCCTACCTTCTCAAAAAATTGCTGCATAATATTTCATTATGTGGATTCACTGATTTTGTGACTCTGTTTTAGATTTCAGTTGTGGCTAGTTATTTTTAATTGAATTTGAATTTTCAAATGAATTAGTTTTATTTTTGAAAATTTTAAAAAAGATTTTATTTATTTGAGAGAGAGCGAAAAAGCATGAGTGGGGGGGAGGGGCAGAGGCAGAGGGGGAAGCAGACTTCCCACTGAGCAGGGAGCCCGCCTCCTGGCCCCACGCAGGGCTCGATCCCAGGACCCTGAGATCATGACCTGAGCTGAAGGCAGCCTCTTAAGTGGCTGAGCCACTCAGGCACCCCTCAAATGAATTGTTTCAGTGAATGTCTGTGTGTAGAGCTTTGTCTAGGTATCGATGATGTCCATGGAAAAGGAGTTCTTGGAAAGGGGGTGTTGGGGTCAAAAGTATTCATCTTTTTGAGACCATTGATGACACCAATATCGGTGGTCTGAAGGTTGTCCCAGTTTACTTCTCACAGCAGTGTCGAAGGACTCAGTTTTCAAACTGTTGGCATTGTCTCAGAAAAACACATTTGCTAATTTGTAAGGCAAATAGTGGTACCTTGATTGTTTTAATTTGTACGTCTTTGATTACTGGTAGGTTGACTATGTTTTCTAGTATTTCAGCCATTTGCACATGCCTGTAATTCTTTTTGGACAATTCTGAAGTCAGAAAAGCTCTGAACACCAAGTTTTTGAGGCTTTTTTGCATACCCCATTGGTGGTAAAACCTAACCAGAACCAATATAAGATTCTGGAG